TGTGGTTAATTCCGTCGCTAATTCTATCGCTAAATAAAAATTCCGTCACTAATCACATGTTTTTTTTATAGTGAAGAGAGGTTGGCTACAAAGTTCATTGTGTTGTCGAGCTGTTCCATCACTGAGAAGGAGAAGAGAGAAGGAGCTACTATCGGCTAAGAAGGAGAAGAGAGAAGGATGGCAGCTGGCACAAGAGAAGAGAGGAAGAGAGAGAAGAATAAGCTTGCAATGAAGGAGAAGAGGAGAAGAAGAGAAAACTACTATTGGGCTCACTCTAATCTGATGAAAAAATGGTGATGCGGTCTGGAGGTTAAAATTTAAAATAAAAAGCTTTTTGTCTGTTACATAAGTAATAGATGAATATATATATCTACATACTCGTCTGTTACATTCTAGCAAATGAGTATGTATGTACATACTTGTCTGTTACCTTATAAAAGACGACTATAGGGGTCATTTTTCCTCTATTTTGAAAAATAGACCAAAATGAGAAACGAAAATGACTTCTTTTGTAATAGTGAAGATCGATCTTTTATGTCATTATTCATAACTTTTGTATGAGTATTGATTACATTTCAGTAGGTATTAATAACTTTATTTTACCAAGTAACAAGGCCACTATTTTAGGTCATTCACAACTTTTTTTTTTATAAGTATTGACTACATTTCAATAGTTATTAACAACTTTGAAATAAAAATTAACAAGTCACAATTTTAACCTAAATAATAATTATTATGCCTTTTTTATTATAATTATTATGTCATTTTTCCTAATAATAATTATTATGATTACGTCTTTCTTATTCTTATTAAGAAACACAAAGTCAGGTTTCAAAGGTGGGCCCTGTTAAGAATCATAATTGCTTGTTCTAAATTTCCCTAACTTGCTCTTTTTCTCATCCCTTTGCGAGGCAATGACTGCAAGTGTCTGATTCGACGGCAAGATCTTTATGCACCATTCCAGTGTTTTTAATCTAGGTGCGATGCATGTTAAGAACTTTAGCATACGCTGGTTAAAAATTACTTGAGGATGGAAATTTTAGTACAAAAATAAATCACATTATAATAAGATTGTATCATCCAGAGTTGGCATGAAGATGGCACAAAATTTTTTAGAGCTAGTACATATACAATTTTAAAAAATAATAAAAAGAAATAATAATTACTATTAGGGAAAATGGCATAATTATTATTTAGGTTAAAATTGCAACTTGTTAATTTCTATTTCAAAATTGTTAGTAGCTACTGAAATGTAGTCAATACTTATTAAAAAAATTGTAAATAACCTGAAAGAGTGGCCTTGCTACATGGTAAACTTAAGTTGTTAATATCTATTAAGATGCAGTCAATACTTCGCAAAAAAATTGTCAATGACCAATAGTCAAAGCTAAGTAACTAACTCCTATAAATATATTGCATTAGTTTGATAGTAAAATTTTAGTGGCTCAATGATCATCCTTAATTTTAACACAAACAACTAAGTAAACTAAGTTTCTCATTGGTTATTGTTTTTGTTTAATGCAATGGTGTTTACTTAATTTGAATTCTTTTTTCCCGATGCTGGTGGATGGCCAACTCTAGTGTATGATTTGGGTGTTGGAGTTTGCCTTTGAAAGAAGGGAATTGCATTTAGACATCTCGTTAAGCAACTTATAAGGATTATAAAATTTTTGCATTTTATGAGATAGAAACACACTAAAGGGCCCTAAGTAATCACGATAAAGCTTCTATGCATCATAGAATGAAGTTAGAATATGGGCATAGGTGGATTTAAAGAAACTTATATCTAATTATTAACCTTGATTCTAAAGTTTAAATTAAGCTCAATAACCAGCAGAAATTGAATCGCAAAGCGTAGAGGGGATTATAATTCTTAGGGTGTCTCTTAATTGCTTGCCTTCCCTTTGAGTTAATTTGAATTTCATTGCTTTTAATTGCACTTGAATATACTTCTTTTGACAATTCACTCGTAAATTGATTAGTTTAACTAAGATGAAATGGGATTTAGTTTGTGCCTAATCTCTTTAACTATAGTTCTTTGTGGAACGATCTTGATTCCCTTATACTTTTTTTGACATTAAAATAAGGGAAAATTATATTAACTCTATAGTCTGCAATTGTTTATGCCTTGCTTTCAAATAAGGTAATATAGTCTTTTACTCTCTTCTATTCTTAATATATAAGAACTACTTAATTAATTTACATAGATTAAAAGGGTCAAATAAATTAGTTACTTATAACAAATATGATTTGATCTTCCTAAAATACTCTTATATGATATTAAATTATATATCAATTTATAAGTTAGATGAATTATTTTAAAAAGTATTGATAACTATGAGAGATAAAGTAGACTGATATTGTATACCTAAAATCAAATCCAATCGGCAAACTTACTCTTATATTAAAAATATGAGGTAGTAATCTATCCCTATATACTCCTCTGATCTTTAATGTAAGATCTAATTGGGGAGTTGATATTAGTCCTATATATAAGACTTATTTAACATGTTTATAATTTTTTTCTCGAATCAACCTAATTGACATTCTTCCAACAATAATCAAGTAAGAGAGGGAGAGATAGAATTAAGAAAGATACTTAGAATATTTTAGAAAAGATATATCATATTAACTAATTTAACTAACATCTTTAATCTACTCAAATTATTACATTAAGAATTGAAGGAGCATAATTTGGGTTAAAGTGCAAATTCGCTTTGAAAGTTTTCACTTGGGATCACTAGGTATCCAGAAATTTTTCTGGGAGCAAATTTGGCTTAGAAGTTTAAAATCATAGCAATATTACTTCCTGTGGTTAAAAATATTAATGGTCAATATTATTTTTTTATGGCAGGAGATAATATTACTATGATTTTAAACTTTTAAGGCAAATTTGACCCTAAAAAAAATTCTAGATACTTAGAGCTTCTAAGTAAAAACGTTCGAGACAAATTTACACATTAACTCTAATGTTTAAAAATTATAAGGAAAATCTCTAATAGAAATTGTTAGGATCTTACCTGGTCAAATGGTACAAATTGGATTTGAATATTGATCAGTCACTGTCTATGCTCCGCCTTATTACCTCATATTTATCATCTTATATCGTTTCTAAGTAACAAAATAAGTTATTTTATTAAATGTAGAAAAACCATGTACTCAAAATATCAATTAGAAGCTACCTTAAAATAGTTATGCAGGATCAGTTACCGTCATTGTATAGCATCCTGTTGTAAATAAATAATATTATGATGTAATACGGAATGATGATTACAGAACATTTGTTTAGGGTGCCATTAAGGAGTTATGGAATAAAATTTATATTTTATATAAATATTAAAAATAAATGTGAAGCAGTTAAAATTCATGAAGGCTATAGATGTCCATACGTTGATTCATGTAATATTGAATATGGATTGCATCGTTAAAATTATGATATAAAGGATTACCTATTTGTTCTAATTTATCATAATTATGATTACACTGAATTATTTTATTGTGCCAACCAGAAAAGACCGGAAATCCTGAATGGATCAGTAGAATGCATTACAATTAGGAATCATGATGCATGAAGACTTTTGATTCATGCATTAAGATATGATCAATTGATCTAGTACAGTGAGAAAGAGCCGCAGAACATGGACTCGGCTCGAAATCTACTTTCTCTCCCCCCCCCCCAACTCAAAATATGCTAAGTCACTTTGAACTTAAGATTAATCTTTATTAGACTGAGATCATTAAGGTTAAAGTCCTCCCAATATGTGCGCTTTTCCTGAATTCGAACTTGTGTCCTAGTCACAGAAATGAGACTGCTTACTATATCAACCAATAACTTGTTAGTTGAAACGTACTTTCTATTAACCAGTAATGTATAAATTTGCATTGAAAGCCATACATAAACTTACTTTTCGGATCATATGATTTCGTTAGTTTTGTTTAATTATTAATTTGAGTGATTGGTTAATATGATTTGAATTATTTCAAGTTAAAGTCAAATATTGAATAGTAAAATTAATATAACTATATTACTTTATGATTTTTACGATAACTCTTTTAATTAGTAACATATCCCAGGCAACATTTGTCAACGTTTCTAACTATATACTATGTTTGATTCTTAATATAAGTCATAGTCAACTAATTTAAAAAATTAAGAAAGCTAAATAAATTACTTTAAATATTTATATTTATTTTTTTTTTCAAACTAATTCACTTGACTTGTAAATTGATATGTAATTTAATGATAAACATACATATTTCAAAGAGATCATGTAATATATGCTATAATTAAGTTATTATTTAACTTTGTTAATCTCTTTAAATTAGTCAGTTGGGTCTTATATTAAGAATCAGATGTAGTATATTATGAAATTATGCAGTCAAAATGTTTATTAATCTAATAAGACCACATGATAAGCACGTAAAGGAGCTGAAAATTTTATTTTAATTATAAAATATTTCTCATTTCATTAACGTATAGAAAGCACAATGATATTATTATATATATGTCATCCATGTTTAACCGACTTGATTGAATCAAACTTTTTGTCATCGTATGTATGTTTACTACTTAAGATAGCCTGCAAAGTAAACGTTCTTGAATTATTTTTACGATGTGCGTACTATTCATTAGCCGATTAGTACAAGTCACTACTTAACTAGTCGGAAAAATACTGCTTATACATAAATACAATATTTATTTATTAGGTATATATATCCAGCTGGGCTAAGTGATGTTTATTCCCTCACATACGGTCCATTTCTTGACCAAGAGAAGTATATACACTTAATGATAGAAGAAAAATCAAATGAAAAATTAATGTTAAATTTACTTGCTAAAATTTTCAATACCTAACTGTTTAGTCATGCTTAAATTTACTTGCTAAAATTTTCAATACCTAACTGTTTAGTCATGCACGGCCAAGCACAGGTATAAAAGGGTTTGTTGTAGTACTCTCCCAAAACAAAGCATTTTGCATAATATGATCAAAGGATCTAAAATGGCGAGGTCTTTGCCACTATGTTGTTACGTCATCTTATTATGCCTTATAGTGAGTGGGGTGGTTGCTCATGAACACCACCCGCGACCACGGCCACGATGGCTTCCGCGTTGGCGACGACCTCATAATCCCTTTCATCCTACACGGCCTGATAATCCCTTTCATCCTACACGGCCTGATAATCCCTTTAATCCTACACGACCTCATAACCCCCCACCACCACCCCCACGAACTCCCTCTCGTCCTACACGACCTAATAACCGGCCTCCACCACCACCCCCACGAACTCCCTCTCGTCCAAAACGACCTAATAACCCGCCTCCACCACCCCCACAAACTCCTTCCCGACCTATGCAACCCAGTAACCGCCCACCGCCACCACCACTTTCACAATTAACACCACCAAATATTTTATCACCCAGGTCGCCACCTTCACATTCTCCATCTCCATCGCTTTCTTCACCACAATCTTCCTCTCCTTCTACATTACCACTGTCTCCTTCACCAACAAAATCGTTTGGCAACACAACTCCTCCTCCTATATCATCAATTTCTCCTTCACCTACTCCTTCAAATTCAACTAGCCCTTCACCTCGTCCCTCTTTATCACAAACCCCATCTCCTTCTCCTTCACCGGCCTCTAAACTAATTGTTCCCTCTTCGCCTTCACCTTCTAATGCTAATAATAACTACACACCTTTGAATTCATCACAAAGTCCATCTCCTTCAGCATCATCATCTTTATCTCCTTCACCATCGCCTTCAACAAAAACTCCATCATCTCTTTCTCCTTCACCCTCAAAGCCAATTATAGCTCCTCGTCCTTCCATATCATCATCTTTTCCTCCTACCCATTCACCATTAGGTGCCATGAACTCCTCGCCTCCTCGTTCTTCAGAAACACCATCTCCTTCTCCTTCAGCTACTCTTTCAAATTCAATTAACTCCTCACCTCGTCCTTCTTTATCACACACTCCATCTCCATCTCCTTCACCCTCTAAACCAATTGTTCCCTCTTCTCCTTCACCTTCAAATAACAAAAATAACTCCTTACGTCCGAGCCCATCACAAAGTCCATCTCCTTCAGCATCGTCATCTTTATCTCCTTCACCATCACCTTCAACAAAAACTCCATCATCTCTTTCTCCTTCACCCTTAAAGCCAATTGTAGCTCCTCCTCCTTCCATATCATCATCTCCTTCTCCTTCACCTGCTCTTTCAAATTCAATTAACTCCTCACCTCATCCCTCTGTAACACAAACTCCATCTCCTTCTCCTTCACCCTCTAAACCAATAGTTCCCTCTTCTCCTTCACCTTCAAATGCCAAAAATAACTCCTTACATCCGAGTCCATCACAAAGTCCATCTCCTTCAGCATCGTCATCTTTATCTCCTTCACCATCGCCTTCAACAAAAACTCCATCATCTCTTTCTCCTTCACCCTCAAAGCCAGTTGTAGCTCCTCGTCCTTCCATATCATCATCTCCTTCTCCTTCACCAGCTCTTTCAAATTCAATTAACTCCTCACCTCATCCCTCTTTAACACAAACTCCATCTCCTTCTCCTTCACCCTCTAAACCAATAGTTCCCTCTTCTCCTTCACCTTCAAATGCCAAAAATAACTCCGTACATCCGAGTCCATCACAAAGTCCATCTCCTTCAGCAGCGTCATCTTTATCTCCTTCACCATCGCCTTCAACAAAAACCCCATCGTCTCTTTCTCCGTCACCCTCAAAGACTATTATAGCTCCTCGTCCTTCCATATCATCATCTTTTCCTCCTACCCATTCACCATTAGTTGCCATGAACTCCTCCCCTCCTCGTTCTTCACAAACACCATCTCCTTCTCCTTCAGCTACTCTTTCAAATTCAGTTAACTCCTCACCTCGTCCTTATTTATCACAAACTCCATCTCCTTCTCCCTTACCCTCGAAACCAATTGTTCCCTCGTCTCCTTCACCTTCAAATGCCAACAATAACTCGCTACATCAGAGTCCATCACAAGGTCCATCTCCTTCACCATCGCCTTCAACAAAAACTCCATCATCTCTTTCTCCTTCACCCTCAAAGCCAGTTGTAGCTCCTCGTCCTTCCATATCATCATCTCCTTCTCCTTCACCAGCTCTTTCAAATTCAATTAACTCCTCACCTCATCCCTCTTTAACACAAACTCCATCTCCTTCTCCTTCACCCTCTAAACCAATAGTTCCCTCTTCTCCTTCACCTTCAAATGCCAAAAATAACTCCGTACATCCGAGTCCATCACAAAGTCCATCTCCTTCAGCAGCGTCATCTTTATCTCCTTCACCATCGCCTTCAACAAAAACTCCATCATCTCTTTCTCCTTCACCCTCAAAGCCAATTGTATCTCCTCGTCCTTCCATATCATCATCTTTTCCTCCTACCCCTTCACCATCAGCTGCCATGAACTCCTCCCCTCCTCGTTCTTCACAAACACCATCTCCTTCTCCTTCAGCTACTCTTTCAAATTCAGTTAACTCCTCACCTCGTCCTTATTTATCACAAACTCCATCTCCTTCTCCCTTACCCTCGAAACCAATTGTTCCCTCGTCTCCTTCACCTTCAAATGCCAACAATAACTCGCTACATCAGAGTCCATCACAAGGTCCATCTCCTTCACCATCGCCTTCAACAAAAACTCCATCATCTCTTTCTCCTTCACCCTCAAAGCCAATTGTATCTCCTCGTCCTTCCATATCATCATCTTTTCCTCCTACCCCTTCACCATCAGCTGCCATGAACTCCTCCCCTCCTCGTTCTTCACAAACACCATCTCCTTCTCCTTCAGCTACTCTTTCAAATTCAGTTAACTCCTCACCTCGTCCTTATTTATCACACACTCCATCTCCTTCTCCTTCACCCTCTAAACCAATTGTTCCCTCTTCTCCTTCACCCTCAAATGCCAAAAATGACTCCTCACATCCGAGTCCATCACAAAGTCCATCGCCTTCAGCATCGTCATCCTTATCTCCTTCACCATCACCTTCAACAAAAACTCCATCGTCTCTTTCTCCTTCACCCTCAAAGCCAATTGTAGCTCCTCGTCCTTCAATATCATCATCTTTTCCTCCTACCCCTTCACCATCAGCTGCCATGAACTCCTCGCCTCCTCGTTCTTCACAAACACCATCTCCTTCTCCTTCAGCTACTCTTTCAAATTCAGTTAACTCCTCACCTCATCCTTATGTATCACAAACTCCATCTCCTTCTCCCTCACCCTCGAAACCAATTGTTCCCTCATCTCCTTCACCTTCAAATGCCAAAAATAACTCCCTACATAAGAGTCCATCACAAGGTCCATCTCCTTCACCATCGCCTTCAACAAAAACTCCATCATCTCTTTCTCCTTCACCCTCAAAGCCAATTGTATCTCCTCGTCCTTCCATATCATCATCTTTTCCTCCTACCCCTTCACCATCAGCTGCCATGAACTCCTCCCCTCCTCGTTCTTCACAAACACCATCTCCTTCTCCTTCAGCTACTCTTTCAAATTCAGTTAACTCCTCACCTCATCCGTATTTATCACAAACTCCATCTCCTTCTCCCTCACCCTCGAAACCAATTGTTCCCTCGTCTCCTTCACCTTCAAATGCCAAAAATAACTCCCTACATCAGAGTCCATCACAAGGTCCATCTCCTTCACCATCGCCTTCAACAAAAACTCCATCATCTCTTTCTCCTTCACCCTCAAAGCCAATTGTATCTCCTCGTCCTTCCATATCATCATCTTTTCCTCCTACCCCTTCACCATTAGGTGCCATGAACTCCTCGTCTCCTCGTTCTTCACAAACACCATCTCCTTCTCCTTCAGCTACTCTTTCAAATTCAATTGACTCCTCACCTCGTCCTTCTTTATCACACACTCCATCTCCTTCTCCATCACCCTCTAAACCAATTGTTCCCTCTTCTCCTTCACCCTCAAATGCCAAAAATGACTCCTTACATCCGAGTCCATCACAAAGTCCATCGCCTTCAGCATCGTCATCCTTATCTCCTTCACCATCACCTTCAACAAAAACTCCATCGTCTCTTTCTCCTTCACCCTCAAAGCCAATTGTAGCTCCTCGTCCTTCAATATCATCATCTTTTCCTCCTACCGCTTCACCATCAGCTACCATGAACTCCTCGCCTCCTCGTTCTTCACAAACACCATCTCCTTCTCCTTCAGCTACTCTTTCAAATTCAGTTAACTCCTCACCTCGTCCTTATGTATCACAAACTCCATCTCCTTCTCCCTCACCCTCGAAACCAATTGTTCCCTCATCTCCTTCACCTTCAAATGCCAAAAATAACTCCCTACATAAGAGTCCATCACAAGGTCCATCTCCTTCACCATCGCCTTCAACAGAAACTCCATCGTCTCTTTCTCCTTCACCCTCAAAGCCAATTATAGCTCCTCGTCCTTCCATATCATCATCTTTTCCTCCTACCCCTTCACCATCAGCTGCCATGAACTCCTCCCCTCCTCGTTCTTCACAAACACCATCTCCTTCTCCTTCAGCTACTCTTTCAAATTCAGTTAACTCCTCACCTCGTCCTTATGTATCACAAACTCCATCTCCTTCTCCCTCACCCTCGAAACCAATTGTTCCCTCGTCTCCTTCATCTTCAAATGCCAAAAATAACTCCCTACATCAGAGTCCATCACAAGGTCCATCTCCTTCACCATCGCCTTCAACAAAAACTCCATCATCTCTTTCTTCTTCCCCTTCACCATCTTTTGCCATAAATTCCTTGCGTCCGCATTCTTCACAAACACCATCTCCTACTTTTTCACCTTCATCAAAACCAACTATCTTTGCACCTCTTCCTTCTCAATTATCACCTTTATCTCCTTCTCCTTCCTCATTACTTTCTCCTAGCAATCATTCTCCACCAATTAAATCAAGCCCATCACCATCACCATCTCTTTCATTGGAAAGTCCATCATCTCCACCTGTCCCTAAAAGTTCACCGCCTCCCCCATCAACATCCACACCTCCACCACCTAGCCCAAGAATTCCATCACCACCTCCACCATCAACACCTAAACCCCCTCCACTAAATGCTCCCCCTCCACCATCCCGACATTCAAGATGCATCAAATTTTTTATCTTTAGAATTTGCTTCTGATCAAATCCAACATCACCCAGTCCTATATATATATATGCTCTAAACCTTCGTTTCACTATATATCACTTTCTTTCATTGTGCACCAGTCCTCCTTTTTTTGTGATCCACCAAACACACTCAAATATCCCATGAAGCATTACATCTTGATGGTCATTCCCATCTTATCATTTCTGATCATACCATAATATATTACCATACAATAATGCGCTACCTTATAATATTATGTTCTTGTGTAATAATGTACTATGAATAAGTGAAGTTTTATATTATGCTATGTTTGTTTGTTGTAATCTAAATTTGAATAATATATCCATTTACAGCATGATATTTTGCTTTTAAGATTGTTTTGGCTTGTTTTAATTTTTATATGGGAAAATGACAGAAAAATGAGTTTTTTGGATTTAGAAGTCCCAAAAGTCACTTGAATAGGAGAAATTTCGTTTTAGTTACGAACGACCAAATGAGAATTTTATAATTTGATAGAATGACCATATTACCCTCATAAACTTTAGGGGGAAAAAATCTTAAGACCCCTATCACACCGGCAAGCCGATGAAGCTATGTTGTGCTTAGTAAAAGTAATAGTAAAAGCATTACGCTTTCATATTGACAATTTTTCATAGTTAACATTACCCAAAAAACCTTATGTTCGTAAACTATCTTTCATAATTGGGGGATGCAACACCTAACTTTTGTTAGGATTATAGTTTTGATGATAACAAAGTCAGATAATTTGGGTTAAGTATTTTGATCGATCAACTGATCGATCAATCGTTTATCGCTAAAGTTTCAGATAATTTTTCAAATGTAAATCAGGTTTATAGTAGGTATTTGGATCGAAGAACTATTCGATAAGTAATTAATCGATAAAGTGATCAATTATCGCTAACGTGAAAATCACACAAGAGCAAGGTTAATTATCGATCAACTGATCGATAATATCAGATAAACAATCGAGTTACTGATAAGAGAACCAAATCTGAAGTGTATTTATCGATCAAGTGATCGATAAATCAGTCATCAATAACGACTTCGATAAAAGGTAACACAATCTACTTGTTCTGCACATTAATTCTGTTACCAATTTATCGATCATATTCTCGGTCATTTGTTTATCGATTACGTGTTCGAACTTTATGCTCTAACTCTCTGAATGCAGGTAATAAACTTCACTGATGGATCGATAATCTTATTGATCATAAAATTATCGATCACATGATCGATAATCAATGCCTCTATCTACTCTTATTTAGTTTTCCTGCAACCAAATTATCGATAACATTATCGATAAATTTAACTTGTTTGCATAAATAACTTTTCACATAACATGATCGATAAAGAGTCTAAGGATTGCTATATTCGCATTAACTTATGTTGAACTATTTTTCGATCACCTAATCGATCACTGGTTTTTCGATAATATGATCGATCATTCAATTCCCTGTAACTCATATTTTCACAAAACGTGATCGATAATCAGTTTCCTTGTCTTACAGGATTAAATTTCTCTTCTTACTTTATTCGATCATTTGTTCGAATATTCATTGATCGATCAACTGTTCGATCACTTCAGATAGTCTGTGTCTTTCATTGAATATATACATACCCATGGTTTATCAATAACATTATCCATCATACATTTATCGATAAGTTGTTCGATCATCAATGACTGAAGTTTCATTTCAATAACATTTGAATTATCGATAATCTGTTCGATCAAACAAGTGTTCGATCATGGAACGATTTCCTCTTGCTACGATAATTCTTAGAGTCAATGATCCAACACTTGATCGATAATATTGGTGATCTAATTCGAAAAGTCCTCATTCTGTTTATCGATAACTTGATCTATCATCAAGTAATCGATCATCTCTTCGATCAAACTAAACCAGAATGACTTTCTGTTCTTCTTACTGATAAATGATTTCGTCACAAATCTTTGAATGATAAATTTGTTTTCTCTTCTTTGTTCAAGATTAAAGTATTCACCGCAAGACTCTCATTTGTTCAAAGCTTAAAATATACAGATTAATGAAAACGAGTGCAACGGCTCTTCAACGGGATTACGTAGACTGCGACCTACAGTGTCAGAAGCTCAGACGCATTAATGGCGGAGCCGTTGAAACCAGCGAAACACGCAAACGGAGTCACAACGGCTAGAAGCTCTTCCGTCTAACGGCTACTTAACGATATCAACTATAAAAGGCGCGAAGAAGCATTAATGAGGAGATTGAATACCGGAACTACCACCTGCGATTATTTAGTGTAGCATTCAATACTCTGTTTTCATGTTACTACCGAGCATCAGTGTTTATCATTAAATTCACTCTGTAAGAGAGCCAATTACTACTCTTATTAAAAACTTGAGTGACACTCAAGAGTGTGGACTCTTGAGAGGGCTTGTATCCTTACGGGAGTAAGGGGGAGTGATTGAGCGATTCAATTACTGTACCGAGGCACCAAGAGCCCTGTCGATCTTGGAAGATAGTGAAATACTCAGAGGTGTTCTGGGGACTGGAAGTAGGTCACGTGGTTTAGACCGAACCAGTATAAATCTTGAGTCTCCTCTCTGCGGTTAATTTTCTCCTTACTCTGACTCTCTGTTTTTATTCAATACTGACACGCATTTGATTGTAAATTTTTGTAACTCACCCAATTCACCCCCCTCTTGGGTGAGATTGTTTCTAACAACTTTCTATATACTAAAAGGATCATTTTAACGTCTGTGAATCACCAACGGTAGGTTTCCGACCTGGAAAAAGACAGGAAATTTTTTTTATATCAGATACTAACTGAATACTAACGAGTGATTCACACACTTGAACCTTGTCTCTATTACTGATAATGTAGGCACACAGACATAAAATAATGCTACATATTTAGGTAGATATATTGGTCATCTCAGTCAATGGCCCTTACCTATATGCCAATAGTGCATACCTTCTTATGGAGAATACAAAATAATATTTACATAAAACAAGTAAAGTTACTTGCCCATATAAAATAGATAATAAAATAAATACCAACTTATCAAGATATTTTGCTACATATTTATAGAATATAACAGCCATCTCTGCTCTTCAACCAGCCCACCTTCTTCTTATACAACTTCCTTTCCCTTAACACCGTGTGCCTTTGCTGTATATCATGGAAGGGGGTGAGATTCTGGAGAATCCCCGTAGTAGTAATTTCCATCAAACATATATGCAGATTACATAAAGCATGCAAAACAAACCACATGGAACATAACCTTGCAAGCTATGCATAAAAAGCATTTAAGTGCAATGACACATAGTCATATCGATTAGCAGAATGTGCAATCAACGGCACATAAGGTCGGACATACAATGGCTTGTAGGGCCGCATAAATAATGGCTCATAAGGCCCCATATCTTTTAGCTGCACGTGATCACGGCTATTAACTCATGCAAGGAATTAAGGATTACATGTTCTCATACTTTTGAATAGCAATATGGCACAAACAGACATGTAGCAATCATACATAAATATAAGGTAGAAAAAAACTACTACTTGGTCCGCTTCCCTCCAAATCAAACCTTACCGTTCTCCTTTCTTTTTGCTTCTTGGTGGGCTTGAGCAGATACCAAAACCTATCATATTCATAAGGGTAGATCAATATTTGATCCAACTATAATTCATAAATTAAATAACTCTCTTTAAATCCCAAATCTTCTTTAATCTCTGCTCTTACATAATAGTTGGTCATCCTGGATAATTTTTCTTATTTAAACTATTCTCTTTGAAGGGTTTCCCTCCTTATCTCAACCCATATAGTTACTTTGCTTAGTAACTGGTCATCTTGATCAAAAATATTATTTTAGTTACTATATTTAAGGACTATATCGTGTCGATGCTGGCTCCACTTCATTTGAAGTTTCTAAACTCAATTTAATAACCTAAAATACTTGTTCAACATCCAAAGATACTAAACAGTAACTATATATTTGAGTTTTTATAACAACACATGCCTATACTCATGTACATCTCCAATGATTCACATAACCTTGCACTTGATCTGGAAGTATTTTCCAGATTTAAAAGCATACTCCTACATGCATATATTCTCCCATAGCCTCATAATCCTCTTATACAGACTTTAATCTATGCCAACATATACTCTAATCATTGAAATTTCTATTCATCAGTTAGTAGCCTCAAGCAATCTCAACCATAAATTTTAAATCAACTACTCTATCTTTCATAATCTATGAATTATTCCTAACTTCAAGACTATCCTTTAAAACTTAATATAATCAATCTTCAACTACAATTTATATAACAAAATCACTATTTATTCTATGTGCAGACATCAAACAAACCCCATGCTCAAGCCTTCAATTCATAACCCATAGTACCAAATTCCAACTTAACAATCCATTATTTTATTATTCACCGACTATATTCCCTTATTTCCCCATTTCCTAGATTCATGAAAATCATCTTTAGTAGAATTAATTCCTTTTTAATTTCAACACAACCATTCAGGCCTATCACCAAATGTTCACTAACATAATTACTGCTTCAACTTCATATTAAAACTCCCCCTCTAAAAAGAATATATTTCCTATTTAACGTTCTGATTGTAAAAATATACAACAAGCCTCTCGATCAACACCCAAATACTCACACTTACTTCCACAATCACCATTTCTTAATTAATCCTTTCCTATTACCCATAGTTTATTCACACACTTGCTTCAAACTCGTTTAGAATCCTTTAATTATCTATTTGCTTTTGTTATACGTTACACAGCCCCATTCAAAATCTGGAATTTTCCATATTCAAAATACATTTCTCGAACCAGCCTCAATAATCACAAAAGCAAAATAAACACCATCCAAGCTTATATACATTTATGTACATATATCCTCCTCTCAATAACCAGTAAACCCGAAACCATTTAACTATGCAATTTCTGTTCCTACAAACATGACCGAGACGCACATATACAAATATATATATAACACATTTATCTAAA